GGTGATCTTAAAGCCCCTTCCAACCCAAACCATGGCGTGACCTATAAAAACTCTGATTTTACAGGGAAGACAGAGATCCCCACGTGCAGTCACACACTCAGCGTTTCCAGGAACGCTCCTTCCCTGCCACGAGCCCTCAGTTTCTGAAGGCACACCGTGACATTGATGGGAAAGTCACCCCGAGTACAAGAGCACAGAGTTCCAACTCCGGGAACATCTGACCGTGGTGAAAAATGTGCTTCGAGCTGTTATCCCACAACACTCCCCTGGTGTTTGTTTGGAGCGTTTATGGGGAACTTCTAGAGAAAGGAAAACTACCAAGATCTTCAAGCAACAATCCCTTCTTGTCAAATGAACAAAGAGATCGATATATTTCAAACGCCGACTCTGTCACAGCGTTTAAATTAACGCCCGAATTATCCACAAGTTGGAAGGAGTAACAGCAGAGAAGCCAGAATGAGACACCAAATTATTCCCTGCCCAGAGTGGATGCTCTATGTTCCAAGTGGATCCTCAGCAAAGTCAGTGAACAGTTATTACAAATTTACGGAGTTCACAGGAGCACAAATTATGATTTGAACACAGACAGGGATACAGGATTTGGAATGAAATGTGTGTGAAGCCAGGAAATAAAAAAAAAAAACAAAACAATGACCAAGAGGGTTTGGGGACACCAGGATTTAAAAGGCTCACTGGCAAGTTCAGTTTAATCCTTAAAATGTATTTTGTCAACTACTCATTCTACTAATTTGATTTTTTTTTTCCCCAGTAACTCATCAAAACTCCCTCTGAATTTTTTTCCCGTCGTATTTTGAAGGAATAACTTTGCCATCAGAAATCAATTTCTACATTTCCATTCCTCTCTTACTTCGCCATCCAAACAGTTACTCAAAAGAAAGAGGAAACTTTTCAACACAAAGAGGTATTAATGTATTATTAACTATTCCTTTAACTGACTCACAACACAGTCTATTTTTATTTGCCTCTGGGGGAAAAGGAAAAGGGGAAAAGAAGAAAAAAAAAAAAAAGAGAGAACCAGAAGGGCTTGGAACTTTATGTAACACATCAATTGGAAGGTTGGTTTCTCACAGCTGGGACAAAACTGACACTTATTACTGGAGTTAATTTAACTTTCATTTACTGGGTTTCACTTTCAGGTGTTTGGTGCTGCTCAGCCCCTGGGAACTTTGCAAGGGGGGTGTTTACAAATAAGTGTATATATATATAAGTGTTTATTCCAATTCCAGAACCATTCCCTTGTTTTCCCAAAGTGCCACACGGAGGGCTGGAATGCAGCTGGTTTTGGCTTCATCCAGGGGGACCCAAAGACTTGGGAGGCTCCAGAGTATTCCCAGTGTATGGACACGAGCAGGGCTGGCTGGGAACTGTGTCCCACATTTCCCCAGCCCTTCGGGGGGGGATTCCCCCTGAAAATCCCACTGGACAGGCCATGCTGGGGTGAACAAGGGGATGATACAGTCCTATTTTCCTGGTGGGTAAATACAAACCTCTTGTGAGGGAATGAAATCCACTGGGACCAGCAAAACCAAGGGACTCCTTTTTCCAGTCAGGCTTGGAGAAAACAAAACCAACAGGCAGAATTTTCCCTTCCTTCCCCAAAAGGGTTGAAAAGATGGATAAAAAAAAACTGGATTATCATTGCAATTCTACTGTGTGTTGTGTCACCTTGAAGAGCCAGCCCCAGGTAACTCTACATATAAAGTTTCTGTGGTATTTTGAAACCATCTGTGGACTACATTTCCCATAACCCTCCTCCTGAAGGGCCCATGGAGGTGAGGAAGGAAAAGTAGAGTATTCCCCTTCTCTGGAGGATTTTTTTTCTCCCCTCACAAGGAAGGGAGTTTGCTCAGAGAGGGTTTTGGTTTTTTTTTTTTTTTTGGTGTTATTTCAAATAGTCTTAGAGCAATAAAGAAGTCTCACTGCATAAACATCAGACTTCTTGAAGTCTGAGTAGCAAAAAAAGTTATTACATAATTTTATTTTTTTTTAAACAGATATTTCTTACCAACCTCTTGGTAAAAAAAAAAAAAAAAAAAGAGATGAAACTGTAAACTTAACAAATAATCTTTTGTACTGGGTTATAAAGACAAAAGCAGCAGTTCTCTGTAAATAATCCTATTCTACAACAACAGATCTATTTACAAAAGGATTTCAGAAGTTATACAAGTCTCTCGTGCTCCCTCAAAACAAAGGTATCAGAAAGTTTTTGCCTTCACTTTGGAGAAGAGCTCCTCAGATGGCTTTAAAAATTCCTATTTAAAGGCTGAACTTGCACCAGGCTGCCATTCTTACCCAGAAACATGAACTGGAACAACAACTTTCAACCTACAGTCCCACAGCCACCTGAAATACAGAGGTCTTAAGAGGAATGCCTCAAAAATAACCTAATTATAGCAACAAAAATTGCCTTTTCTTTGGTACTGGTAAGTTCTGGTCTCCAAACCACCACCCATCTGAGCTCAGATGAAGCAGTAAAATGCCACCATGGCAAAGAAAGGTTCAGTTTTTTTTGGGGGGGGTGTGTAACTCCTCTCCTCACACCCCACATGAGCAGGTGGTCCAGTTTCAGGCACAATCTGAAGCTGAGGCACATGTCAGCAAATATGTCCTAATTAAAAGGCACTTTGCAAGCTCAGACAGGGCACAGTTTTTCCTGGGCACCGGTGGTGTTGTGCTACTTTGTTTAAACTCTCAACCCGCTCGCAGGAGTCACTTGGGGCCGTCAGGTGCCGATTCCCAGCCCACACAACCCCCCCAGACCTTAAAAAGTGATAAAATCCCGGTGCCTGCCTCGCTATTTCCCACAGGGAGGAGAATCCTGCCCGTAAATCCACGCTGAAACACAGAAGTCTTGGCTGCTATGAGGTAAAATTATCCCTGTTGTGGCTTCTCTGTCACTGCCCAACGTGGGGGAGGGGATTCCAATGACAAGTCCTAAATCCACCCAAGTACTGATGCAGGAACTGTAACAGTTCCTGCTCCTGTAACAACCCTCTGAGCCTGGAAACAATATTTAAACTATTGTCCTTTTGCCCTGCTGGTTGGAGAAATCCCCGCTTTTTATTCAGTTTTGAAGGAGATACACTTGCTTTGCCCAAGGAACGTGGCAAAGCCATGAATTAAACTCAATAAGCTTCATAAACTTGGAGAGAATTTTTTAATTTGCAGCAGAAAATGTAAATTTAACACTTCACACACATATTCGACTTCAGACTGCAAATAAAAACAGTCTAGTTCTAAATAATTCATGTAAGCCAAAAACATGAAGCGTAGCCTACAAAAGTATCTATATATACACACAGCAAATATATATAGATAATAGTTAACAAATACTAGCTCAGAGTTATTTCCAGTGTTATTATTCTAATTCTATAAAGTATAATTAATTTTCCAAAAATATCCAACCTACAGAGGTTGGGGGAGGGGGACCAGGGAGAAAAAAAAAAAAAAGAGAAACAAGTTTACCAAAACTTTTTAGGGCTACAGAGTATTTCAAGGAGGGAAGGTAAATTCTGCTTGGCTACAGGCAGGGAATTCAATACTACCAGAAACCAAACGTTTGCTTATTTATCATCAGATATCATCTGTGTGTTCTTCAACTCCACACACCTCTCCTTAAGGAAAATGTAAGCAAATACCAACAAGATCATAAAAAAAGTTGTGGACTTGTACAAATCCAGACCCCTGTGATACTAAATCCACCTAAGTGTGACTGTAGGGACCCCCTGGCAAAAGTTAACAGGACGCTCTAGTTCAGATTAAACCAGGATGGCTGTCAAAAACACGCTTGTTGATTTATTCCGTAGCCAGATATTCTGCCCTTGTTAATTTTAAATAACAATAAATGTTTATTTCCCCCATGACTGGGGAGTAATAGGAGAACTAAATAAGAGCAGCAATGTAGATACATGATCAAAGAAACCCCTATGTGGTCCTTGGCCGGGCTGAACCCAAAACTTCAAAGCTGACCCGAGATTCAAAAACGCAACAATTTCGAAATTTCGAAATCCAGGACTTTTTAATTGCGTTTCGTGATTCCTTGGCGGCGGGAGGGAGCTGTGGCCGCTCCAGAGGAGCACCCAGTGTACCCGAGGAGGGCTCCAATTCCTCCAGCCACACAAAGCTCAGCCCCTACAGGGCTGCGACCAGCTATTAAAACACGGAATCCCAGAATCGCTGAGGCTGGAAAAGCCCTCCCAAGATCATCCAGTCCGCCCTGCGCCCGATCCCCCACCGTGTCACCCGGCCCAGAGCACCCAGTGCCACCGTCCAGTCGTTCCTCGGGCACCCCCAGGGATGGGGGCTCCGCCACCCTGCCCGGGAAGCGCCGGTGTGTCCCTGTGCCTGTGTGTCCCTGCGTGTCCCTGCGTGTCCCTGTGGTATTCCCAACGCTGCTCCCTCCTCCTCCTCCCCGTCCTCCCCACCCCCCACCGGCGGGATGACAGGCACCTCGCTCAGGTAACTCCTTCCCCATCTCCCCCTCCACCTCTGCCCACCTGCCCACCCTCGCAGGTGCCCGGGCCATCCCGACCCTGCCCTACAACAGGTGATGCTCCAAGTCCCGCCGCCCTCCCCGCGGCCGGCCCGGCCCGAGCCCTCGCACCCGCCCACCGCAGGGCGTTGCGCATAACACCGAGCGGCTCCGGGCGAGCTCCCCTTCCTCCAGCGCCGCTGCCGAGGCCCGGCAAGGCAGAGCCGCGCCGGGAGCGGGGAAAGGCCGCGGGGAGCGCAGGGGCGGGCGGGGATGGCTCCCGCTCTAAGATGGCAGCGGAGCGCTGCGGCCCCTCCGCCGCGGGCCCGGGCGAGGCGGCCCCGGCTCGTCCCGCGGTGCGGCGTTCTCACTCACCCGAGCGGCGGCTTCTCCCGGGGCGAGGCCTCCTCCCTTCGGCGGGGCGAGCGGCCCGGGCGCGTCCTCCCGCTCTTCCCCCGCCCGGGGGCCTCGGCGGCGGCGGCGCCTCCTCCTCCTCCCTCGGGCCGCGGCGGTGGCCGCGCAGGGAAGGGGGGCGCGGGCGGCCCGGCGGGTCCCCGGCCGGGCTCTGGGTGTTCGCTGCCCTCACAAAATGGCGCGCGGTCCAAACCTGCGCAGCGCCCGGCGGCGGCTCGGCCTCGCCTCGGCTCGGCTGCGATCGGCGGCCTGAGCCCCGGCCGGGAGCGCGGGGACAGCGGCGGGGGGAGCGGGAGGAGGAGGAGGAGGAGAGGAGGAGGAGGAGGAGGAGGAGAGGAGGAG